CGCTCAAGCATCTGCAGCATATAATAATAATAGCAGTGGTGTTGATCTTCGAGGACCGAGAGCTTTGATTAGTGCTTATGGAATTGATGAGAGAGAAAAAAATTTGAACCGTAAACATAATACAGCAGAGGAGCTGGACTTGTATGGTGCTGACGAAAAAATGGCTCTCAGGACATGGCAAAATACCGAAGAGGAAGAATTTGACTGGGAAGATATGACCCCTGCTTCATCTCTGCCCCCTCCTGGTGGGAGACACAACTTTATTGCAAACAGAGGCAACTTGTCCAAGGCTCAGTTTGCTTCCGTTTCTAATTCGTCCATGATCGACGATGTTTCTCATACCAATGTATGTTTCCTTATTCATCTTTAGGAAATTTATTTTCTGCTCTCAGTCCTTTGATCAAATTTGGATGTGTGTGATATATTTAATCCTTGTTAGTTGTATTTTCATTTCTAGTTGAGCATCATCATATCTGATAAGTTATTATTTGTCATTTAGTATATTTATTTATCCGTAAATGTTTACACATTGTAATATGAGCTTCAGCTGACCTGATCAGAATCTGCAACATATTTCAAGACTATTAAAACAAATTTGAGGGAAAAAGTCGAACCCTTCATTCTAGTATTGGACTATAACACCACATATATGCAAAACCTCAACCTGTAGTCATTCGAGGAGTGATGTACTATTTGAATGTTTAAAAATATCAACCATCATGTTTGCCTTTGTGCTTTTTCACAGTCCGGTCGTGGATCAAGTGACAAGATTGCGCCAAATCTTCGAGAATCCTTGATGTTGCCACATCAGCAGTCTCAGAGCCATTTTAACGCGAAAGGAGGTGGTGGTTCTTTTGCTGAAAATAGAAACTTTTTAACTGGTGGTGAACTAAATCCGGCATTAACGGGCAATTTCTCAAATACAGATGGGAAGTTTCGTCTGCCCTATGACTCGACAGCTCCTGAGATTCAATCAGCTGATGCAGCAGCTCCTTTAACAAAGGCATGGCATCCTTCAAAGTTTCAGAATTCACACATTCGGCCCTCACTCTCTGCTCTCCCCTCCCAAATGCAAATCAGGGGTCAATTCGGTATGAACAATGCTGTTGACCAACTTCATTCTGAGCAGCAATTGGGTAGGTCACAGGCGAATTTGCCTCATATTTCGAGTATTCGCCCTGGACCAGTTCCTGCAAATCTGCAACATACTGCACAGCCAAATTTGTATCTACCCTCACCTTATTCGGAACATATTCCTTCAAATGCATCTGTACCACCTATGAATTATAGATACTTTGGTCCAAGTGGCACTACTTCGTCTAATCTAGTTCCAGGCTTTCCATCTTTTCATGTACCTCGGCCAACCTTACAGTCTCTACCGAGAGGTCCTTTTCCTGGAACAGCTCAGCCATTACCTATTGGTTCAAATGCTAATCAAGTTGCCCAAAACCCATCAGCTGGGCCGGCACTTTCGGGTTTAATTAATTCCTTAATGGCCCAAGGATTGATATCGTTATCAAATCAGGTATGCGTTTATTTCCTCCATTGTATCTAATTGAGGTGAAATATTCTTTAATTTGTTATTGTAAAATGCATAGGATTCTGTTGGAGTGGAGTTCGATCCGGATATTCTCAAGGTGCGACACGAATCGGCTATAACGTCTTTGTACGCCGAACTCCCCAGACAGTGCAAAACCTGCGGGCTTCGATTTAAAAGCCAAGAAGAGCACAGTAGCCATATGGATTGGCATGTGAACAAGAACAGGACATTAAGAAACCGAAAGGCAAAGCCTTCACCCAAGTGGTTTGTGAATGCTGCCATGTGGCTAAGTGGCACAGAGGCAATGGGAACCGAGGCAGTTCCTGGTTTTATGCCTGCTGAGAACAGTGCGGAGAAGGAGGAAGACGAAGAAATGGCTGTTCCTGCTGATGAAGACCAGAATTCTTGCGCATTATGTGGAGAGCCGTTTGAGGATTATTACAGTGATGACCTGGAAGAATGGATGTACAAGGGGGCTGTATACATGCATGCACCGACTGGCGCAACTGTCGGAATGGACAGGTCGCAGTTAGGTCCTATTGTGCATGCTAAATGTATGTCCGACTCCCATGCGGTATCATCTGAAAATAATAAAAAGGATGAAGAGGTTCGTTTTTTTCTTTCTTTCCAGTAATTCTCTCTTTGATACATCTTGTTAATATCCTTGCTCGGATCAGTTTAGAATCAAAAAGATAAAACATCAACCCCTCGTATTACTTTAACATGCGCAGGATTCAACTTGAAGAAGGTAGTCCAACGTAAAAGATTCCGGAGTTAGCAATATTA